GGCACGCCCGAGCTGTCCCGCGGCTTTGCTCCCCGTCTCCCTGCAGACCAGGGAGACGCAAAGCCTTGGAGCACGCCCGCAGCGGGACAGCCCAGGCACGCCCGAGCTGTCCCGCGGCTTTGCTCCCCGTCTCCCTGCAGACCAGGGAGACGCAAAGCCTTGGAGCACGCCCGCAGCGGGCATGCTCCAAGGCTTTGCTCCGCATCTCCCTTGTCTGCTGGGGGGGCTCCCCCCCAGCAGACCAGGGAGACGTGGAGCAGCTTTTCTCGCCCCGGAGGACGGGGGCGGCGGGACTGCAGCGCATCTGGGCGTCCCGCCGCTCCAGTCCTCCGGGGCGAGAAAAGCCCCGTTCGTAACTGCGGATCCGACATAAGTCGGATCCGCGTAACTCGGGGATTGCCTGTACCTCTATCATATCCCCCCTCAGTCTCCTCTTTTCTAAACTGAAAAGTCCCAGTCGCTTTAACCTCTCCTCATATGGAACCCGTTCCAAACCCCTAAACATTTTAGTTGTCCTTTTCTGAACCCTTTCCAAGGCCAAAATATCTTTTTTGCGGTGAGGAGACCACATCTGTACACAGTATTCAAGATGTGGGCGTACCATAGTTTTATACAGGGGCAGTAAGATATTCTGGGTCTTATTTTCTATCCCTTTCTTAATAATTCCTAGCATCCTATTTGCCTTTCTGACCGTCGCTGCACACTGTGTGGAAGTTTTCAGAGAACTGTCCACGATAACTCCAAGATCTCTTTCCTGATTTGTTGTAGCCAAATTAGCCCCCATCATACTGTACGTATAGTTGGGGTTATTTTCCCCAATGTGCATTACTTTACCCTTATCCACATTACATTTCATTTGCCATTTTGTTGCCCAATCACTCAGTTTGGTGAGATCTTCTTGGAGTCCCTCACAGTCTGCTTCTGCCTTGACTATTCTAAACAGTTTGGTATGGTTCTATGATCCTATAAAAGTATTCTTTTCATAGAATTTTTTGGAGTGCTGTAGCTATCTGAAAACTCTGATCTTAACATGTTACTAATACATGGTAAATTGTTAGCACTGGAAGAACTTTACCATGGATCCTGTTTATTTGTTTGACCTTTCAGTGACAGAGTTGGATTCCAGCAAGTGATTTCCATTAAGTTTTAGAATTTGTTTGGGGAGGAGTACTGCAAGCCATTAAGGCCAGATCTCTGCTATCTGGTGTCGTTCTGGCTCTGAGTCAATGGGCACAGTCAGAAGTAGCAAGCGCTAGGTGCGGTGCCAGGTGTTTTGTAGGATGAAGGCTCTCCGAAGAATGGATCTGTCTGCAAACTCTGAAGCCATGTGTCACTGTGCTCTGGGGCTTCCACTCTAGAGTTGGTGACACCCAGTGTGAAAGTTTCAAACCAGGAGAATTGTTATCTGGTTTTACAGGTCTCGGTTTCCTCCTGCATTGCATGGATCCGAAACATTCATTTAAAATACTCATAACCAACCGCCTTTGTTTTATTTCCCTTCCTATTGTCAGTGGTGGTTTGTGGCTTTGTTTGCTGTCTGCGTTGCTCTATTACTTATTTTTACTGTTTTATGTTTGTGCTCTATCAATCAAATTAAGAGTTGTCATCCCAGAGAAACTGTATAAGCCTGAGTGAATGCCTTTTACACTGCTTTCCAGTGTCAATAAATACTGCATTAGTATCTGCAAGGAGAGCATGACTATTTCTAGTTGACTCAGATTTGTTTAGTATCTTAAATCAGAGCGATGTGTGGATAATAAGCACACAAGGGGGATAGTTCTGTGAACTGCAAAGTCTGTAGCATGCTAGTGTTTTGGCAGATGCTTTGTTTTTTGAGAGCAGCTTGAGTGGAGATGCTGAAGATGCAGAGGTCTGTGCGAGTAGGTTGTTAATTTGGGGCTCTGGAGAACATTTTTTATGCTTTTATTTAATGACCATGTCTGATGTATTTATATAGCTGTTTTCAATATGTCCCAGTTTGTCATGTTTACTAGCTTGAGGTGTTAGAAAGGACAGAATACATGTAGTCCAAGGGCATTGTTAATTTTCGTTTTATTATATTAAACAAACATCTACAGCATAGCTCCCTATTAATTATCCCTTGTTTGAATTTCTTTTTTTACCTTCCATACCTATGAACTATTTAAAATATATATTTACAGCTAGGTTTTTTGCTTATACTGATGTCGACACATAAGAAAATTCAACCCACGCAAGGAAGGAAAATGTTAGAGGAAACACTGCTGGTGTCCCCTATGAAATTTCTCTAGTATGGGATAAAAGACCAGATTTCTTGCAGGGAGACCAAATTTCAGTGTCTGTAACCTATATTTTCATTGCTGTGACATCGGTAGGGCTCTATTCAGGATACAGACATTGCTCTACAGCACTTGTATTAGGTGAAATGAAAAATCGTCTCCTTCTTGCCGGTATTTATTTTACAGCACAAACAGAGAGAACCCTTTTTTCTCCACTTTATCTGAAGAAGTGGATTTTGCCCACGAAAGTTTCTGATACTATCTATATATTTTGTTACTCTTTGAGGTGCTCCAGGACTACTCAGTTTTTTTATAGTGAGCACTGTATACTTTGTGTTCGGTGTTGTAATGGAAAGCAATTCATTTGAAAATGTAGAAATCCAAACCGATATAAACAAATGGCATTCTATTATTGTTTAACCCGTGATTCAGCGTGAATTTTTTTAAATCAATTGGCAGCCCTAGAAAAAGAGTAACAATGAGAGTCAGGTAGAGAAGAACTCCTCAGCCCAAACGACAGCAGCACTCTTGGCTTTTCAGAAAATAAAACCAGCCACTTCTCTCCTATTCCCAAGAATAATCTTCCATTTCCTTAAAGCTTAGAACAGGGGTGGGGAACCTTTTTTGGGTCAGGGGCTGCTGACCCACAGAAAAATCAGGCGAGGGCCGCACACAAGTGAGAAGCCGAACACAAAACATACCCAACCTCACTAAGGCAGCCCCCAACTGAGAAGGAGAAAGACACCCTCCATATCCCCCTCTCACACCAGAGCCTAGAGGTCCCAGACTAGTAGAGCTGGTGTGCTTCAGCCCTGCGGATGGATGGCCCGGGGGCAGGAGCACCAGCACGAGCTCTCCAATGCTGGAGGACCCTGAGCCGCTGGGGCGGGATCCAGGCAAGCCAAGGGCTGTCTCCAGCCCTCCACCCCGGCTTAGAAGAAAGAAAAAACAATTCTTGCAATGTGCTTAACCCCTTGCTTTCACTGCTACTACCTCAGCATCTCGCCAGCAGACAGAGGCTACGTCTAGACTGCACGGCTCTTTTGGGATACTGGAGGTATCCCGGAAAAGCAACGCCGCATCCAAGGAACGCATCCACTGTTCTGAAAACGTTTTTGGAAAAGCGGACGTGCTTTTTCGCCATCCCCGTAAACCTCTTTCTACGAGGAATAAGGGATAGGTCGAAAGAGCACTTTTTCACCATTTGGCGCCTCGTAGATACGCCAAATTTTGAAAGCGCCTCTTTTGAAAGTAAATCGGAAATAGATATGCAATTTGCATACCGCGAATTGCGTTTCTTTTTCCGATGTAACACTGCAGCATAAACGTGGCCTGAGCTACCCTCTCCGATTCCCAGACCGACCCTCCTATGGATGGAGGCGTGCACCTGTACCAGATGCTGAGATGCTGAACCCTCGCTGTCACCCTCAGACAGAGTCCAACGCAGAAAGACCAACGTGAATTAGGGCTTTACCTGACATTTTGAGCTCCCCGATCCGAAGGAGGTGAGGCCAGTGCTGGAGCGTTTTGATAAAGAAAGGATTTGTGACACCCACAACGACGTTCGGCCTGCAGAGAAACGGTGGAGACACAAGTGGAAGCCAGAACTACAACGCCCCAAGGTTTCGCCATGTAACTTGTGCTGACTGAAAAACGCATCGAGAGAGGCTCCAGTCCCAGAGTACTTACGGGGCTTGCGTCCTGGTGGTGTACTCCTTGAACTCACTGTCGTGGATAGTGAAATACGGGCGGTAGTCACAGCAGTACTTCAGAGGGGCGAGACAGCTGCAAGAACAATACAGGGACAGTGTCGTCATCATGAAACCCTGCACGTGCTAGAAAGGAACAAGTCTGGGACAGGCCAGTTTCCCAGTGGCCGCTGCTTTGCGGAGCCAGAGGAAACACATGGAAGATTTGCCCCGTCGCTCACTCGACTGACAGCATATCGACCCCTTGAGCTACCAGACTAGGGAGGGAAGCTCATTCCAGCTCCGACAGAGCCAGCATGCTAAATACAGCGTAGTCACAGCAGCACAATTGGCAGGAGGCGCTAGCCACTACGAGCCCGTGCTTGTGGCCTCACGTGGGTACGTATCCAGGGCAAGTGGCCCTCCTGTTGCTCGCACGGTCATGGCTACACGCTACCAGAGCTAGCGCAAGGACACCTCCTTGGGACGGGGATCCCAGCCTAGCTCCAAGCACAGGGATACCCTAAGGCTGTGGCTCTCAAACCAGGGCCCGAGGGCCGCTAGCTGCCCACAGCCGCCTGGCAGGTTGTCCGCGGCTCAAGGCTCAGCTCCCCTGCAGCAGGGAGGCTGTGTGGGCACTCCAGCCTCACAGCCCGCCCCCAAGCTTGGAGTGCCAGCTTCCCATGGGCGGGAGGGGGGGAGAAAGCCCCAAACCCCAGCCTGGGATCTGGCTTATGGGGGGAGCGAGCGGCTCCATGTGCTGCTGCTTCCCCTCCCCCCCGGCTGGGGGAACGGCAGTGCACAGATGGTCTGCCTGGAGGCTTTCCCCACTGCCGCCACTGGCCGGAGTCATGGCCAATGCAAGCGGTGGGAGGTCACCACCAATGGGAGCAGCACCTGGGAAAGGAAGTTGGGGAGGAGGGGGAACCAGGTAAGTGCCCCCCCATCCCTCTCGTGCCCAGACCCTGCACCCTCATGCACCTCCCTTGCTCTTGCTCCCTCCATCCTGACCAGACACCCGAATCCCAGCCGCACTTGCACCTTCCCCCCATTCCAGACACCCCATCCCAGCTCACTCCTGCACTCTCCCTCCCAGCCAGACCTCATGCGCCCAAACCTCCCACCCAGACTCGCCACCCTCACCCAGTCGTGTGCCCCACCCCATCCCGCTCCCTGGTAGCCCCTTCCTGCACACTAAACCCCACATTTCTGGTCTTACCCCAGAAAATATGGGGGCTCACAAAATCTAGTAAGCCCAGGACCCCAAAAGAGTTGATCTGGCCCATAGGAAGCCCTGAACCTTAGCACTCTCAGCCTGCTCTCTCCCCTACCCCGTGGGGCTGGAGCGCCAGGAGAGTGAAGTGTCTTAATTAGGAGCCACACCAGTGAGCGTTGGAGGGTTTTTTGCTTTTGCATTTTTAGGGAGGGTTTATGCCTCTCCCTTGTGTGGCCATCGACTGATTTTTCTGTGGCTCAGAGGCCGCAGACCCAAAAAGGTTCCCTACCCTTGCTAAATAAAGACAATGTTGAAACCTTTTGTTTTGGACATAAATTAATATCTTACTTTTTTAAAATGAAGCTTGGTAAACTAACATGATAAAGTTAAAGTAATTAATCAGTTGAGTTTTTTTGATTAATAATATTTCCCTTCTTACCAGTTAAATACACCCCTTATGTACAGCGCTAGTAGCCCAATATGGTATTTAGAGATAAGTGAAAGCTTTCTGTCATCACGGGCAGCTGGCTGGTGGTCCATGGAAAGGTTTGCATTGAGCAGGGTGGGCTGCGGGCCCAGAGCTTTGAGAACCACTGCCCTCAGGCTACGTCTACACTGGGGCGGTTTGGACACAGAAGTGCTGCTGACACGCAGAAGTCGCCAAAAGTGAAAACCGGTCAAACCCGATTTTCTGCCTGCCCTGGTCAACATTTCGTGTCACACTGTTGACATTTCATGGTCACCCTGTAGGCAGACAAAGCAAAGCAACGCCAGTGAGCACCCCGCAGTCCCTCTCCGAAGCAGTCTGCCTGCCACTGGGTTCCTAGCAGGGCAGAACAGAAGCACTCCAATGATTTGTTCTTTGTTCCCCAAAGGGAGCAGCTCACTCAGCTGTCAGACACTTCTCAGAGCTGTGAAAGGGGAAGGGCTCAGGCCTGCAGGGATTTCAAAACAGTAAGCACAGTCCTCAAGGCAGGAATTGCGAGATACTGGCGGATGTCAGTTCTCCCAACAAAATGCACAGCAGAGTCCACACTGGCTCTCTGTCGATAACAAGGAGAGGAGAAAGGACAAAGTCTCTGGCTGGGGTGGAAGCTTTTTGTCCCCAAAACTGGCTGGTTTTCTGCTGACAAAAGTCACACTGCAGCGTGAACGCTCTCACTGCTTTGTCACCTAAAGGCACTTTTTGGTAACCAAACATGCCAGCGCAGTCAAGGCCTAAAGGGGCTGCTGAGACAGGATACAAAACGGGAGAGAGGAAACTTCAAAGCCTGGGAACGGGCAGGATAAGCCACCTTTGGTTTATGAAATATCATCAACTCTGTCGCGTTAGAAATTCTTCCCATTCTCTTCCCAGTTCAGGTGGCATAGGAGCAGAACGCAGTAATTCTGCCTTTTCTTATTTTACATATATATTTGTATATATAAATGAAGTCAGATGCCATTCATCTGACACAGCAGTGGTTCTAAATGGAGGAGATTTAACAGCATCCTTCGATAGTCACCTGCAATTCACATCAATTACCTGGTAAGTGCCAGCACCATTTCTGAGGAAATGGCAGGGGATGGCGCCATTACAACTACTGGCTCCCCCAGTAGCATCAGCTCCCACAGCATCTGGATGTGAATTAGCACTGGCTGGAAGCATCTGTTAGCGAAAGGAAGAGTAACGGGGTAAGGCTAAAAATGGGAGTTCCTGAAAGAACAGACTCCTGAGTTAGGCACATTCAGTTATACTTCTGCATCTGCACATTCAACGTCTAGGATGGGTTTCTAATATCCTGCAGCAGTGAGTTCCACGAGGCAATTATGTACCTATATACACTTTCTGCAAGTCATTTAAAATGTGTTAAAAGGAAACATTTTAAGTTCTCATAGTTACCCAGTGGAGCTCATTGATCATGAGATATATTTTAAGCCAAATAAAGCGCATATAAAAAGGAATAGGACCAATTTCAAGGGTAAATCTGCCAGGACACAGGCTGATCCCCAGCTGAAGACAGGAAGACTAGGTGTTTGTACATACAAGAGCCCATACATGCACTGCAACATGTCTGGAAATGGGTGACAGGAGAGGGATCACGTGAGGATTACCTGGTGTGATCCCTCCCTCTGGGGTACCTGGCATTGACCACTGTCAGCAGACAGGACGCTGGGTCTCACCCAGTCTGGACGTTCTTATGCAACGCTCCCCAAGCACCATGCAACTCCTACCAACCCAACATGCAGACGGACACACTTTACTGACAAGAAGGATCAGGATCCGCCCCCATGACCACAACCTCCCATTTAGCTAAAGAAGAGCATGAGCGGAGAGGAAGGAGATGGAATGGGAGGAGCGTGTTGAGAGAAGCTAACTCCCACCTGAAAAGATCCAGTTCATACACACTGGGGAGAACTAACGGGGCCGGTAACAAGTTCTGAATGGGAGAGAGGAGAGAGGCAGTTATGAAGGAAAATGTCCCAAGCGCAAACAGTGGTCACTCTGAGTTGCTCACCTCAGTCACACAAAGACAATCCATCGACAGTAAGTACCAAAGCATCTAAAGCTTAGACAAAGATAATGCTTGGAGAGCCAAGTGAGGAGCAAATGCGGGCAGCCTGCAGGGCAAATGGCCGACCCCTTCAGGGTGAAAGGATTTCAGTTTTTACCGTAGGAGCCAGCCAAAACCCTCCCTTCTGAGCCTGAGAAACCTCCCCACTGCTCCCTCTGCACCCAAGCGCGGCTTGGGACAATGATAATCCGGGAAGGTGGTGGATGCTAACAGGCCCCAAATGTGTGAAAGGAAACCGCGCAAAGGAAGGAGGGAAGGAGAAGGGATTGTTAGCAGGGCTTACGATGGCAGAACAAGGAGCAATGATGTAAAACTACCCAGGAGAATCATTCAGGGACTTCTCTGCCCAGGTAGGAGCTAAGATCATTCTTGCTAGGTGGGAGTTTGAAGAGTTTAGTGAAAACCCTTGAGAGAAATATTTAAGGAGTAGCTGTTCCAGGCAGCACATTGGACAAGTTCCAAAGAGCTCCAATTCTACATGAGCCTTCTCTTCCTCAGTGATCTAGACTCTGCTTCTTGTTGGGCCATTTGGCACAATTCTTTTCTTCACCTCACCTCTTGATTGATCTGCTTCAAAGGGCTTGATCCGGGTTTGTCCACTCTGGATGGGATTCTCACCTGGGTTACAAACAGGAAAAGTTATTGGGGGGCCAGGCTCAGCTGACAGGCATGAACACTTGCTGAGATTAGGAACAAAGGGAAAGCATTTAGAGCTAGCAAGCGACAAGAAACGTGCCGTCTTTCTAGTGCAGTGCACACCAGGGCTTGTGGCTTGAGCATTTATGAGTTGAATATCAGGAGCAAGTACCTGAATGACAATTCCCATCACTGGAAGGTTCAGAGTCTGTCCTGGAACAGGAGGCAGCCACTGATCAATCTCATTGCACACTGCAAAACATGGACAATGGCAAAACTTTAAACTGAGGGACAACTGCAGCCAATTTAGATCGTTCCGGTGGCCTCTGCTGTGACCATATCCGCATTGGGGCTGGTCTGTGTTACAGGAGAAGGTATCTAAGGCTCTGTCGACACAGGGCAGGTTTGGCGCCGAAAGTGTTGACATGCAAAAGTGAAAACCGGTCAAGCCAGTTTCTCTGTCTCCCATTGATGACATTTCCTGGCCACATGGCTGACACTAGCATCCTGTCGACAGGCACAGCAAAGCATTGTGGGTCAGCATCCCACAGGGCAGCTAGTCCCTGCGCTGCTTGGGATTCCCTTGTAGCTCTGGGAGCTCTCCATGATGAGGAATGTCAAAACAGCACGGCCATCTCTCCAGCCCTCCCCCTGCAGCAGCCTGCCTGCCTGCCGCTGGGTTCCTAGCCGGGCAGAACAGGAGCATTCCAGTGATTTGCTCTTTGTGCCTGAAAGGGAGCAGCTCACTCTGCTGTCAAGACACTTCGCGGAGCTCTGACAGGGGAGGGGCGCAGGCCTGCAGGGCAGCAGAGATCACAAAACAGTGAGCACAGTCATCCAGGCAGGCATTGTGGGACACTGGCGGAAGCCAGTTCTCTTGACAAATCAAACAGCAGAGTTCACACTGGCTCTTTGTCGCCAAAGGGAGAGGAAAGACAAAAGTCTCTTGCAGGGGTGGAAGTTTTGTGTTGCCAAAACTGGATGTTTTTTCCTGACAAATGGCGCACGGCAGTGAAAACACTCTCACTTGTTTACTGCTAAAAGGCAGTTGTTGGTGACAAAATGTGCCAGTATAGACAAGGCCTAACTCTGCTTGCATGGCAGCTCTAGGCTCCGATGGGCTAACAACATCCAGGGACCACAACTGAGAGCTGGGAGACTGTCACTCCCGTGCTCTCACAACAGCACCTGAAGTCAATGGGAGCTGTGTTCTGAATGTGTAAAGTGACACGTAACACTAAGCGCTCAAATTAAATCAGGTCCGAGGTGCCTCAAACTGGAGGCTGAAATTAAGTGGATACTTTTGACCTTGCTTTCTGTGCCTCAGGGAGAAGGTGGAAAAAATAGTCTATGATCATGTGACTAAACACTATCATAATCCCTGAACACCAGGGATTCAAGTTAAGGTAGCACAGGCCACCTTAATTCTTGCATTTCCTAACTTCTGAACACTTGATTTTCCAGCCTTAATAATGTTCTTTTAACAGTTGTATGGGTACAATAGGAGACCTACCCGGAGTTACTCGGGTCCTTCAGGGTCTGGGGGCCTGGAGGGTGTGTAGGAGTCAGGGCAGGGGCTTAGGGCAGGGGGCTGTGGATATGGGGTGTGCAGGAGTCAGGGCTGGCATTGAGGAGGGGCTCAGGGCAGGGGGCTCAGCAGCTGTGCCCTAGGGCAGGTCTGGGGTGGGGCTATGCAGCTTGTCTTCCTTCTTCTCTCCAGGGCAGGGAGAGGGGAGTGCCTCACAGCTGGCTCGCCTGGTTCGGGACCAGCCTGGGGGAGCAAGGCAGAGGCCACACAACCTGCCTGGCATCTATTCCCTGGGGCAGGCTGCAATGATGGGGCGCCATGCTGCCAGCCAGCGGCTGCTTTAATTAGGAGCCACACCAGTGAGCGTTGGAGGGTTTTTTGCTTTTGCATTTTTAGGGAGGGTTTATGCCTCTCCCTTGTGTGGCCATCGACTGATTTTTCTGTGGCTCAGAGGCCGCAGACCCAAAAAGGTTCCCTACCCTTGCTAAATAAAGACAATGTTGAAACCTTTTGTTTTGGACATAAATTAATATCTTACTTTTTTAAAATGAAGCTTGGTAAACTAACATGATAAAGTTAAAGTAATTAATCAGTTGAGTTTTTTTGATTAATAATATTTCCCTTCTTACCAGTTAAATACACCCCTTATGTACAGCGCTAGTAGCCCAATATTGAAGGTATTTAGAGATAAGTGAAAGCTTTCTGTCATCACGGGCAGCTGGCTGGTGGTCCATGGAAAGGTTTGCATTGAGCAGGGTGGGCTGCGGGCCCAGAGCTTTGAGAACCACTGCCCTCAGGCTACGTCTACACTGGGGCGGTTTGGACACAGAAGTGCTGCTGACACGCAGAAGTCGCCAAAAGTGAAAACCGGTCAAACCCGATTTTCTGCCTGCCCTGGTCAACATTTCGTGTCACACTGTTGACATTTCATGGTCACCCTGTAGGCAGACAAAGCAAAGCAACGCCAGTGAGCACCCCGCAGTCCCTCTCCGAAGCAGTCTGCCTGCCACTGGGTTCCTAGCAGGGCAGAACAGAAGCACTCCAATGATTTGTTCTTTGTTCCCCAAAGGGAGCAGCTCACTCAGCTGTCAGACACTTCTCAGAGCTGTGAAAGGGGAAGGGCTCAGGCCTGCAGGGATTTCAAAACAGTAAGCACAGTCCTCAAGGCAGGAATTGCGAGATACTGGCGGATGTCAGTTCTCCCAACAAAATGCACAGCAGAGTCCACACTGGCTCTCTGTCGATAACAAGGAGAGGAGAAAGGACAAAGTCTCTGGCTGGGGTGGAAGCTTTTTGTCCCCAAAACTGGCTGGTTTTCTGCTGACAAAAGTCACACTGCAGCGTGAACGCTCTCACTGCTTTGTCACCTAAAGGCACTTTTTGGTAACCAAACATGCCAGCGCAGTCAAGGCCTAAAGGGGCTGCTGAGACAGGATACAAAACGGGAGAGAGGAAACTTCAAAGCCTGGGAACGGGCAGGATAAGCCACCTTTGGTTTATGAAATATCATCAACTCTGTCGCGTTAGAAATTCTTCCCATTCTCTTCCCAGTTCAGGTGGCATAGGAGCAGAACGCAGTAATTCTGCCTTTTCTTATTTTACATATATATTTGTATATATAAATGAAGTCAGATGCCATTCATCTGACACAGCAGTGGTTCTAAATGGAGGAGATTTAACAGCATCCTTCGATAGTCACCTGCAATTCACATCAATTACCTGGTAAGTGCCAGCACCATTTCTGAGGAAATGGCAGGGGATGGCGCCATTACAACTACTGGCTCCCCCAGTAGCATCAGCTCCCACAGCATCTGGATGTGAATTAGCACTGGCTGGAAGCATCTGTTAGCGAAAGGAAGAGTAACGGGGTAAGGCTAAAAATGGGAGTTCCTGAAAGAACAGACTCCTGAGTTAGGCACATTCAGTTATACTTCTGCATCTGCACATTCAACGTCTAGGATGGGTTTCTAATATCCTGCAGCAGTGAGTTCCACGAGGCAATTATGTACCTATATACACTTTCTGCAAGTCATTTAAAATGTGTTAAAAGGAAACATTTTAAGTTCTCATAGTTACCCAGTGGAGCTCATTGATCATGAGATATATTTTAAGCCAAATAAAGCGCATATAAAAAGGAATAGGACCAATTTCAAGGGTAAATCTGCCAGGACACAGGCTGATCCCCAGCTGAAGACAGGAAGACTAGGTGTTTGTACATACAAGAGCCCATACATGCACTGCAACATGTCTGGAAATGGGTGACAGGAGAGGGATCACGTGAGGATTACCTGGTGTGATCCCTCCCTCTGGGGTACCTGGCATTGACCACTGTCAGCAGACAGGACGCTGGGTCTCACCCAGTCTGGACGTTCTTATGCAACGCTCCCCAAGCACCATGCAACTCCTACCAACCCAACATGCAGACGGACACACTTTACTGACAAGAAGGATCAGGATCCGCCCCCATGACCACAACCTCCCATTTAGCTAAAGAAGAGCATGAGCGGAGAGGAAGGAGATGGAATGGGAGGAGCGTGTTGAGAGAAGCTAACTCCCACCTGAAAAGATCCAGTTCATACACACTGGGGAGAACTAACGGGGCCGGTAACAAGTTCTGAATGGGAGAGAGGAGAGAGGCAGTTATGAAGGAAAATGTCCCAAGCGCAAACAGTGGTCACTCTGAGTTGCTCACCTCAGTCACACAAAGACAATCCATCGACAGTAAGTACCAAAGCATCTAAAGCTTAGACAAAGATAATGCTTGGAGAGCCAAGTGAGGAGCAAATGCGGGCAGCCTGCAGGGCAAATGGCCGACCCCTTCAGGGTGAAAGGATTTCAGTTTTTACCGTAGGAGCCAGCCAAAACCCTCCCTTCTGAGCCTGAGAAACCTCCCCACTGCTCCCTCTGCACCCAAGCGCGGCTTGGGACAATGATAATCCGGGAAGGTGGTGGATGCTAACAGGCCCCAAATGTGTGAAAGGAAACCGCGCAAAGGAAGGAGGGAAGGAGAAGGGATTGTTAGCAGGGCTTACGATGGCAGAACAAGGAGCAATGATGTAAAACTACCCAGGAGAATCATTCAGGGACTTCTCTGCCCAGGTAGGAGCTAAGATCATTCTTGCTAGGTGGGAGTTTGAAGAGTTTAGTGAAAACCCTTGAGAGAAATATTTAAGGAGTAGCTGTTCCAGGCAGCACATTGGACAAGTTCCAAAGAGCTCCAATTCTACATGAGCCTTCTCTTCCTCAGTGATCTAGACTCTGCTTCTTGTTGGGCCATTTGGCACAATTCTTTTCTTCACCTCACCTCTTGATTGATCTGCTTCAAAGGGCTTGATCCGGGTTTGTCCACTCTGGATGGGATTCTCACCTGGGTTACAAACAGGAAAAGTTATTGGGGGGCCAGGCTCAGCTGACAGGCATGAACACTTGCTGAGATTAGGAACAAAGGGAAAGCATTTAGAGCTAGCAAGCGACAAGAAACGTGCCGTCTTTCTAGTGCAGTGCACACCAGGGCTTGTGGCTTGAGCATTTATGAGTTGAATATCAGGAGCAAGTACCTGAATGACAATTCCCATCACTGGAAGGTTCAGAGTCTGTCCTGGAACAGGAGGCAGCCACTGATCAATCTCATTGCACACTGCAAAACATGGACAATGGCAAAACTTTAAACTGAGGGACAACTGCAGCCAATTTAGATCGTTCCGGTGGCCTCTGCTGTGACCATATCCGCATTGGGGCTGGTCTGTGTTACAGGAGAAGGTATCTAAGGCTCTGTCGACACAGGGCAGGTTTGGCGCCGAAAGTGTTGACATGCAAAAGTGAAAACCGGTCAAGCCAGTTTCTCTGTCTCCCATTGATGACATTTCCTGGCCACATGGCTGACACTAGCATCCTGTCGACAGGCACAGCAAAGCATTGTGGGTCAGCATCCCACAGGGCAGCTAGTCCCTGCGCTGCTTGGGATTCCCTTGTAGCTCTGGGAGCTCTCCATGATGAGGAATGTCAAAACAGCACGGCCATCTCTCCAGCCCTCCCCCTGCAGCAGCCTGCCTGCCTGCCGCTGGGTTCCTAGCCGGGCAGAACAGGAGCATTCCAGTGATTTGCTCTTTGTGCCTGAAAGGGAGCAGCTCACTCTGCTGTCAAGACACTTCGCGGAGCTCTGACAGGGGAGGGGCGCAGGCCTGCAGGGCAGCAGAGATCACAAAACAGTGAGCACAGTCATCCAGGCAGGCATTGTGGGACACTGGCGGAAGCCAGTTCTCTTGACAAATCAAACAGCAGAGTTCACACTGGCTCTTTGTCGCCAAAGGGAGAGGAAAGACAAAAGTCTCTTGCAGGGGTGGAAGTTTTGTGTTGCCAAAACTGGATGTTTTTTCCTGACAAATGGCGCACGGCAGTGAAAACACTCTCACTTGTTTACTGCTAAAAGGCAGTTGTTGGTGACAAAATGTGCCAGTATAGACAAGGCCTAACTCTGCTTGCATGGCAGCTCTAGGCTCCAATGGGCTAACAACATCCAGGGACCACAACTGAGAGCTGGGAGACTGTCACTCCCGTGCTCTCACAACAGCACCTGAAGTCAATGGGAGCTGTGTTCTGAATGTGTAAAGTGACACGTAACACTAAGCGCTCAAATTAAATCAGGTCCGAGGTGCCTCAAACTGGAGGCTGAAATTAAGTGGATACTTTTGACCTTGCTTTCTGTGCCTCAGGGAGAAGGTGGAAAAAATAGTCTATGATCATGTGACTAAACACTATCATAATCCCTGAACACCAGGGATTCAAGTTAAGGTAGCACAGGCCACCTTAATTCTTGCATTTCCTAACTTCTGAACACTTGATTTTCCAGCCTTAATAATGTTCTTTTAACAGTTGTATGGGTACAATAGGAGACCTACCCGGAGTTACTCGGGTCCTTCAGGGTCTGGGGGCCTGGAGGGTGTGTAGGAGTCAGGGCAGGGGCTTAGGGCAGGGGGCTGTGGATATGGGGTGTGCAGGAGTCAGGGCTGGCATTGAGGAGGGGCTCAGGGCAGGGGGCTCAGCAGCTGTGCCCTAGGGCAGGTCTGGGGTGGGGCTATGCAGCTTGTCTTCCTTCTTCTCTCCAGGGCAGGGAGAGGGGAGTGCCTCACAGCTGGCTCGCCTGGTTCGGGACCAGCCTGGGGGAGCAAGGCAGAGGCCACACAACCTGCCTGGCATCTATTCCCTGGGGCAGGCTGCAATGATGGGGCGCCATGCTGCCAGCCAGCGGCTGCTCCCTGTGGTCATTCTATCTCTGCGATCACACCCCTGCCTTTCCATTTGATGAGAAACAATCGCATTCCACACATCCCACTGTCCCGGAACAATCCAATCCTGACTTTGCTTTAAGTTAGGAGAAGAGGAAGCTGCCTGCCAAATTTGGTGGGCCTAGCTCTTCCTGTTTAGGAGGAATTCTTGAACAAACAGACGTGACAGACAGACACACAGGCAGACTTACGCCCTGAATCTCTCAAATATACAGCAGATGTATTTAATGGAGCTAATTTACTTTTCTGCCAGTACCATGCAGCTCTGCAATCCTTTGCTGCACACATCTCAGTAGCCCCCACATATACTAATAATAGATTTCTGTCCCCATTGCAAACCTCTTCCTCCCACTGTCTCTCCTTACCTGCCTCCAGGCATGGCTCTAGCTTGTCAAAGTACTCGGGAGCAATCAGCTGCAGCAGAGACTGGAAGAGGTTCACATAAGGCAAGCGTGACACCAGCACTAGAGACTGAAAGAAAGACACCGATGAGCCAGGCTAGTGCCCTCACCACTCCCTACACAAAGGGTGCGCAGATACTGGCCGCCTACAGCCCGCAAAGGCATCCAGCCAGGAGCCCGAAGGCTGAACCTGTGTGGCCCAGAAGGGTGTTTGCAGAGCACGTGCTCAGCCTGTGGGACACCTGTTGGTTATTTTGAACTGGATTCTCCAGGTGTCTATGCTCAGGGAAGAGCCGGGAAGGCTGTAGAAGCAGCTGCAAGGTGGAAGGAGCCAACCTAGTAGCCTCCAGGAGGGACTATTGCACAGTGAGAGAGGAGGCTACTAGGGATGTAAAAGGTTCAGCCGTTAACCTCTCACCTGGCAAGCACTAGGTTTGCCAGGATGCTTACTAAGCAACCGGTTACCAGGACAGGCTGGGTGGCAGGAACCCAGGCAGGTCAGGGCGGCCGGCAGGCGGGTCCCTAGCCCCAACCCCGCTGGAGCCCTATCCTAGCTTCACGCAGCCCTGCCACATGCCAGGTGAAGGCAGGAGGGACCCCAGCACCCACCCTGCCCAAAACAACAGCCCCAGCTGCACCAACAACC